TGGGGATTCGAACCCGCCACCTTAGGTGTACATGGCTGGCGCCTTAGCCGGTTGAGCTATAGGCGCCGAGCCTAAAAATGTCTTTTTCATGGTTGACTTGGTATATAAAAGTAATTTTGAAAAGTACTTAAGCCTTTAAATATACTGTTTTTGAAAGGGGAGGAGTTATTTGAATGCCTGGCCAAGTGTATTGTGTTTTTATTTAATGCTGTGTGAGTGGTGGCCATGGATCACTGTGACTTAGGGTTTTAGTCACAAGCTACCTTTAGAAAATTTGGAAATCTTTTTTAAACTTCTCAAGAAAGAAGGGAAGTTCTTTTATGCTTGACCTATATATAAAAATTTCTGACTGTTTGGCCTTCAGTTATTACCATGGATCATTATAACTTTGGGTATTAGTCACAAGTGACCTTTAGGAAGTTCTGAAATCATTTTATGCTTGACCTATCTATAAAAATTTCTGACTGACCTGCAGTTACTACCCTAGTGATGTTTCTCAGAGCAAAAGATGTTGTTCACTTCATTTTCCTTTGATTCAGCAAGGATTTTCAGATCTTTTATATGTATAAAGGAAACTACCAGTGATTTGGTTTTTAGATCAAGGTGCTTATTTATTGAGGTGCATTTTATATCAGAGGGAAGGGATATATAAGGTTCTAAAGTGGAACCTTGTTGTGTAATTTAATATTGACTAGCACCCTTTGATTTAGAAGAGAGTTAAAATAGATAAGGATACATAAATAACTTAAAATAAGTTCCTCATTTTGAAAATGGTTGGCAGGGTACTTTACTTAGTCCCCAAATTGGAATTTTCTTAAACTTCAGTTGATCCATTTTCAAAATTATAATAGGTAATTAAGATACTTCTAAATTTTCAAGCTTTGTTGGAATTTGTTGACACAGACATTTAAATACTCCATTTGTAAATGAATCTTAATAAAGATTAAGCTAAATTATACACCTAGTTACTGAGATTACTTTGTACTATGCTGTCTGTATCAGAAGTGCTGTGAGGCCCAGGCGCTCTGAAAAAACTTTGAAGACACATGAGGATATTGTAGCCCTTTTTCCTGTTCCTGAAGGAGCTCCCTCAGTACACCACCCCCTCCTGACCTCTAGGTAAATGCATGTTTTAAAGTTTTTTCTAGGAAATCATGTTGAAGAGTGCTTTTATTTACTTACTTTTCCTTTTGGCTATCTTATGTAAGAGGTCAGAGGTGGGAAATCATTAAACAAAAGACAGTACTTTGAGAGTACACCTAATTTTGTCACTAAAGGAGCTCCATCAGCAGGAGAAAAGACTCTGGCTCTAAAAGTTCAGCATCCTTAAAAAAATCTTGTTTTTGTTTTCTTTGGGGGGAATATACTGCCATCAGAAATCTTTGTTTTGAAGGAGCTTTTCAAAGTGGCAGGATGCCTTAACATTTTTAGGAAAGTGATTTTACGTTTTTTTTTGTTTGTTTTTTTTTGGGGGGGGGGGAGACAGTCTAAGTCGCGCAGTGGTTTAGTGCCATGGTGTCAGAGCTCACAACCTCAAACTCCTGGGCTCAGTTGACCTTTTGCCTCAGCCTCCTGAGTAGCTGGGACTATAGGTGTCTGCCACAATACTCGGCTATTTTGTTTTTAGAGTTGGGGGGTCGCTTTTGTTTAGGCTGGTCTCAAACTGTCCATCTGCCTCAAACCTCCTAAAGCAGCAGTTCTCAACCTGTAGGTCATGACCCACAGGAACTGGATTAAAGGGCTGCGGCATTAGGAAGGCTGAGAACCACTGCCCTAGAGTGTTAGGATTATAGGCGTGAGCCAGGTGGTTTTACCTTTTGATGTTTAGAAAGCCTGCTTTCTGGTTAGCTGTGGAGGTTATTGTATTCGTTTGTTAATGAAGGTGAAGGGAATGGTATGGGCTGATAAACCATTGTAGTACCTGAATCTGGAAATGTAGCTGTGCCAATCTAGATAGTATTTGAGTATTGTAGACCTCTTACTGTTTCTGACATACCTTGAATGTTACTTTGTGTCAGAGGATCTCTAGTGTGTTTTTACACCTTGAGTCTTTATGAACTCCTAGCAGCTAAAATTCCTAAAGATAAGATTTTTATTCTGTAAAGCTGATTACTTTGGAGACTTAAATTTTAAGCACCACACTTGTAAACAATTTTTAAAAGTGATCTGAATAATTTTGGAGAAGTTTAGGTTTGGAATGCTGCTTCTGAATATGGGAAGTTTCCTTTCTTTGTAGAACAGATTTTCATTTTAGTTAAAAATGTATTTGTAGTATTAGTTCATCAAATTACAGAGATAACCAAAGTTTTGTCTCTTGGATCTCTAATTAATTGGAGAATAGAGCCTAAATAATAAAAATATTTTTCAATAATATTATAATTTTCCTTTTTTCCAGTTGGGATGAATGGGTTCCAGAGAGCAGAGTACTCAAATATGTGGACACCAATCTGCAGAAACAGCGAGAACTTCAAAAAGCCAATCAGTAAGTTCATTTTTGTCAAATGAATATTGATGAGAAATGCCTATAGATTAATTTTTGAACATGGAATTCATTTATTGAATCTTAGAGCTAGGTAGAAAACAGCAGAATGTCATTGGAAATTGCCGTAAGTATAACTGATCATCAAACATCTTGTGTCTTATTTCTTGGGCTCTGTGGAAGGCACACTTTTTGGGGAAACAAAAAAGCAGGGAGAAGAGGCATTGACATTATCCTTCATCTCTGAAAGCATGCGGAGAAAAAGGGACCCTAAAAGACTTTGTGGTCTATAGATAGTTTCATAGTTGAAGTGTATAACCAAATTGAAATGATAAAATGGAATCAAATAAAAGAAGACATTAGGGTCAATGAATTCCAGAACAGAAATGAAATTTTCAATTATGTGGGACACAATCTATCATCTTTTTTACTACATTGATTATAATTTTGGTGGATAACACATACAGAAGAACCAAATCTTGGGCGTTTTGTTCTTGAATTTTTTCATTTGAAACTTTTTTGGGTAAATCTTTCTTTGTCCAACTTGTTAAAAACTTGGTGCCAGAATGTATATAGAGGCTGATGACCTCAATTTGAATATAAATTTCTAATGGAATCAAGCTGGTACAGTTTTTTGCGTAAGTACTCACTTTATGATGACTTTACTGAAATTATTTTTAAAGGGAGCAGTATGCAGAGGGGAAGATGAGAGGGGCTACCCCAGGAAAGAAGACATCTGGTCTGCAACAGAAAAATGTTGAAGTGTAAGAAGCTCTTTGTTTTAATTCTGCACACTGTTTTATAAATGAAATGCATATTTGATATTCATCATGTGTTATTGAAAATGGAAACTTTGGGAACATTGTTGGAACCAGTGGGAATCCCATTCTCCAGGTATTAGTCTTTGAAAATACATAGTAAGCCCTGTATGGTGGCTCTCTGTAGTCTCAGCTACTTGGGAGGATCATTTAAGGCCACAAATTCAGCCCAGCCTGGGCAATATGATTAGAACCCCATCTCTAAGGAAAAAAAATGAAAATATATTTTAATTCCTTAGTTCTCTTTAGCACATTTGTCCTTTTTCTTGTGGTAAAATATACATATACCATTTAGGTAAAACATACATATACCATTTAATACAGTAATTGCCATGTGAATTGTATTTATGCTAGTTTTGAACCTGAGGCCTCATGGAGTGTGTACAACATACCTGTCTTCTTTTGACCTATCTTGACTTAAAACTGTGGCTCCAAGAAAAACAATTTTTTTCTAGTGCATCCATCAATGTCTTAGACCATTACTATTGTTAAATGTGTAGTTTAGTGGTATCAAGGTATTAAATACCTTATTTTCTAAATAGTATGCCTGTGTATATATAGGTATGTAAGTGATGTTTTGTGTTACAGAGACAGAATTACCTAGGCTCACGTTGTGAGATAACTGTTTGGCAAGGTTTGTTTTTTCAGTAGTGCTAAAAATATATCTGTAATAGCCTGCATTTATAAGTGCAAGTTGTACATAAAGTCAAATGTTTGTAACTCTGGTATTGCCTATACTAATTAATTCCCTCTTGATGAAACGTATGTTGAGAATATCTGAGAACTTAAGGTTTCTTTTTCTTTTTTTTTTTTTTTTTTTTGAGACACCGTTTCATTTTGTTGCCCTCAATAGAATGCTATGGCATCAGAGCTCACGGCAATCTGAAGCTCTTGGGACTATAGGCACCTGTCACAATACCCAGGTGTTTTAGATACTGGGTCTCTCTCTTGCTCAGGCTGGTCTTCAACTCCTGAGCTCAGGCAATCCACCCACCTCGGCCTCCCGGAGTGCTGGGTTTACAGGCCTGAGCCACTGCGCCTGGCTCCGTAAGTTCAGGTTTCAAATAGTATGCCTGTCTCTCTCCATCTAAGAAAAAGAAAACCATTACTTTTGGGTAATGAACCCTAGAATAAGAAAATCAAGTACATGTACATACTGCATATGTCTAAAGTTCTTGTACCTAAAGGTTTATGATAAGGAGTGGCAATTTAGTACTCTTAAACAAGTATTAATAGTACAAGAACATAAAGATCATAGCTTTTTATAAGAGATCATTTTATTGCTTACCAGTGTTACTAGTTTCTTGTTTAAAAGTAAGGTGTTAGTAATGAAGGTAATAAATGCATTTTGAGTTGTTTAGAGTTGTTTTACTTTTTTGGGTGGAAAGGTAATTTATTTGGTAAGGATTAGGTGTGGGGGGGTAGTGTGTGTTTGGGCTTTTTTTGGTGGGGGGTGGAGAGGAGACTGACTAGAGTGCTGTGGTGTCAGACTAGCTCACAACAACCCCAAACTCTTGGGCTCAAGTGATTCGTCTGCCACAATGCCTAGCTAATTTTTCTATTTTTAGTAGAAATAGGGTCTTGGTCTTGCATAGGTTGGTCTTAACTTCCTGAGCTCAAGCAATCATTGTACCTCAGCCTCCCAGAGTGCTAGGATTACATCCAGGAACTCTGGTCAAAAGGATAAGGTGTGTTACTATTTTGAGTCTGGTTCATAGTTTTGTTTATAATAAGTAGTAACATATTTGTGATCTGATTCTGTGGAAAACTTTTGCATAATGGTGTTCTGTTAGGGTTTAATAGCACTTAACTCTTAAAAGGCATCAATTTATATATATGGAAAAATACTATGAATTTAATAAAGTAATAGCTTACAATAAATTTTTTTTCACTGTACTGAAAGTTGTTACATGAGCGTAAGTAGTGTGCTTTAATTATTTGCATTTGAATATAAAGTGTGCAGTTTCAGCTACGTAAATAATGGCTGAATAAATACATGAGTAGAGTTTTAAAAGTAAGTTTATCCCCTATTTTGTATTTTCTAAAAAGTTGTTTTTTGGAGGCAGAGGAGCCCAAGTGATTTTCTTGCCTCAGCCTCCTGAGTAGCTAGAACTATAGGTGCCCACCACAGTGCCGGGCTATTTTTAGAGATGGGGGAGTCTTGCTTTTGCTGAGGCTGGTCTCGAACTCCTGAGCTCAAGTGTGAGCCACTGCCTTAAAACTTCAAATTTCCTGTCCTTGGACAGTGGGAGCCTCTTCAGATTGGCTCCTGAGTATAGAAGGTTGAAGCAGTTTACTACTGGGATACATTGATGTGTACAAATTATTTATCCAAAATACTGTGACCAGAGTGTTTCATGTCTCAAACTTTTTTGAATTTTGGAATATTTGCATTATATTTACTGCTTAGATGTCCAAAATCCAAAGTACTCTAGTGAGCATTTCTTTTAGCACAGTGTTTATAGTGCCAGCCGCATACGCCGAGGGTGTCAGGTTCGAACCTGGCCTGGACCAGCTAAACGATGACAACTGTAACAGAAAAATAGCTGGGCGTTGTGGCAGGTGCCTGTAGTCCCAGCTACTTATGAGGCTGAGGCAAGAAAATCACTTAAGCCCTAGAGTTTGAGGTTGCTGTGACGCCATGGCACTCTACTGAGGGTGACATAATGAGACTGTTGTCTCAAAAAAAAGTTTTAGATTTTGGAGCACTTCCAATTTGGGATGCTTAGCCTGTATAGTTTATAAATTCTTTTTCTTGGGACAGAGCCTCAAGTTGTCCCCCTGGGTAGACTGCTGGGGCATCACAGCTCACAGCAACCTCCAACTCCTGGGCTCAAGGGAGTCTCCTGCCTCAGCCTCCCAAGTAGCTGGGACCACAGGCACCCGCCACAACACCTTTTTTTTTTTTTTTTTTGGTTGTAGCCATCATTGTTGTTTGGCGGGCCGGGGCTGTGTTCGAACCCGCCACCTTAGGTGTATGTGGCTGGTGCCTTAGCCACTTGAGCCACTGGCACGGAGCCTATAAAGTCTTTAAGAGTTGAGATCACCTATCAATTCCAATTGTGTAGAGTGAGTGAAGGTAATAGAGTGCAAGGATAGTTGGTTCTCTTGGTCCTCATGTATTGTTGAAATGTACAAGTTAAGTTGATGGTTTAGTCTGACCCAGAAATACTGTCCCAACAATATTTGTATTAGGGAACCTTAGAGAGGTAGGAGAAAACTTATTCAGATTGGCCAGATTTTACATAAATTTGTGGAATGAACCTCAAGACCTAAGTAAATGAGTTGAGGGTAATGAATAACATTTATAAATATTACTTAAAACTATAGAAAAGTAGCTATTATAGATTACCAGGTGTTCTGGTAATCTGTAATAACCATTGCAAATAGTTCTAGAAATAATTACGTAGAAAACTAAAAATCAGTAATTTATTATTTGGCAGTGATAAACATGAGCAAAATTGCTTTGTAAGAAATAACCAAAATGGAGACATGTCATCATTTTTCTGCATAGGGGAGAATAAAGACAATAGTATTGAAAAAGAGGGAATATGTTAATAATTTACAGAAGAAATTCTATGAAACAAGATTTGGTCCAGTGAGAGTGGAGTGACAAATTGGTGTTTAAGAAATTTACAAATCTAAAATGTGTATTTTAAGAATCAAAACTAAAATAATTGGAGAAAATATTTTATCCTTTGAAACTTTTTTTGGGGGTAGAACAAATAATATATACAATGTTGGAAGAAGGAAGTTGTCTTTCAGAGTGTTCTTGGTTTATTTTTCTATTATGTGGCAGGAGATGTGAATTTAAACTATCTAAAAAGTCCTTGTGTCTGAGCAGGCAACTATTTATACCTGGTCTTAACCCAATCAGTTATTTCTCTGTGAACTTGTCTCTGATGAAAGGGAATTGAAACAGGGGTAGTTTTATAGGAAATGATTAATCTTTCTTTGTTGTTTTTCTACCCTCTTTTTAGGAAAACAAAGAAGAACAAGCAGAAAAGTAAGAATATTAATTTCCTTAAAATTTATTTTACTTCTATAGTACTTATATTTGGAATTACATTATTTTAAAGCCATGAAATTTTGGAATATAGTTAGGTTCATTGGGAGTCTCAAATAGGAATCTCACAGCGTAGAGACCTAGCCTCTTTTTTCCATGGAGAAACTTGTCAGCATTTATTCTCATTTGCTTTAGTCTTAATGACTCCCACTGAGAAGATAATATTTTTAAATCAGTGGAAGGTGGTACTGTTATTAAATACTGTCCATGCTAAATGTTTGGTAGAGCTGTTCATAAAGGTTATAGTTTTAGTAGATGATTCTTTAACGTAGATTCAAATAATAGCTATGTAATGGAGAAATAATGAAAAGAGAGGATGTGTCGAGAGATTGTTTTAAGTTCTTAAGAGTTTCTTGTTTACTTAGCTAAAATGATCCTTCCCCTGTCCTGAATAAATTTTTATAGCACCTGGAAATGGAGATGGTGGCAGTACCAGTGAGACACCTCAACCTCCTCGGAAGAAAAGGGCTCGGGTAGATCCTACTGTTGAAAATGTGCGTTTTTCTTAAATTTGTGAATAGCATGTTAAAATTTCAGTATCAGTTATGTTAATGCCTAGAACTTTAAGCATTGCTGACATGATTACTGAAATTAAAAATTTTCTTTTTGGAGGGATAAAAATTAATTTATATATATTTTTAGTTCGCTTGTAGCTCTAAGATCTGTTTATCTTTTCTTTTTCTTTTTCTTTTTTTTTTTTTGAGACAGTCTCAAGCTGTCACCGTGGGTAGAGTGCTGTGGGTCATAGCTCACAGCAATTTCAAACTTGGGTTTAAGCGATTCTCTTGCCTCGGCCTTCCCAAGTAGCTGGAACTATAGGCGTTCACCACAATACCTGGCTATTTTTTGGTTGTAGTTGTCATTGTTTGGTAGGCCTGGGCTGTATTCGAACTTGGCAGGTCCAGTGAATACGTGGCTGGTGCCCTAGCTGCTGAGCTACAGGCTCTGAGCCAAATTTATTTTTTTTCTGTAGAGACAGACTTTATTACCCTCGGTAGAGTGCCATGGCGTCACATAGCTCACAGCAACTTCCAACTCTTTGGCTTAGGCAATTCTCTTGCCTCAGCCTCCTGAGTAGCTGGGACCACGGGGACTGGCTATTTTTTGTTGCAGTTTGGCCAGGGTCAAGCTTGAACCTGCCACTCTTGATATATGGGCCCAGTGCCCTACCCACTGAACTATAGGCACCACCCTGAGCCATATTTTTGTTTTTATTTTCTTTTTAACCTAACTCACTGTCTTTTGTTGTGTAACTTCTGTTATCTCATACAAAACTAAATAAATGTCTTTGGTGTTAGACTGATAGACTTAACTAGGTGGTTTATTAAATTCCATGATAGCTTAATACAATTATAAAAATAACGTGAGAACCTCTCAATATAGTTTAGAATTGTGAGATATAATGGCAAAGCATCTTATTGCTGATTTTATTTATTTATTTATTTATTTATTTCGAGACAGTCTCACTGTGTTGCCCTCAGTAGAGTGCTGTGGCATCACAGCTCATAGCAACCTCAAACTCTTGGGCTTAAGTGATGCTCTTGCCTCAGCTTCCCAAGTAGCTGGGACTGCAGGTGCCTGTTAGAATGGTGGGCTATTTTTTGTTGAAGTTGTCACCGTTTAGCTGTCCTGGGTTCAAGCCCCCCCCAGCCCCGGTGTATGTAGCTGGTGCCCTGACCACTGAACTATGGGTGCCAAGTCTGCTGATTTATTTATTATTATTATTTTTAGAGCCAGAGTCTCACTTTATTGCTCTTGGTAGAGTGCTGTGGCATCACAGCTCACAGCAACCTCCACCTCCTGGGCTTAGGTGATTCTCTTGCCTCAGCCTCCCAAGTAGCTGGGACCACAGGCACCTGGCTGTTTTATTGTTGCAGTTTGGTGGGGTTTGAGTTTGAACTCGCCACCCTACCTACCCACTGAGCCACAGGCACTGCCCAACTTGCTAATTTATTATATTTATAATTTTAAAGTTATTAATTTTAAGATAGAATTTTATTTTTAACTGATACAGTTCATATTTCTGAAGTTGAAGTTATAAGTATACTTAGAGACAGTGGTATGATCTGGAAACAGGCACTTTGGGGCAACTTTTGAAGACGTCCTTAAAAATAATACTTTAGACTCAGCGCCTGTGGCTCAAGCGGCCAAGGCGCCAGCCACATACACCTAAGGTGGCGGGTTCGAATCCAGAAATCACCACCCAACAGTTCTGGACACAAAACT